CTTATCTAAAAAGCACAAGGCCCTTCCCAACTTTTGATATAATGTTATTTTCCGTGCAATTCTTTGACCAGCCATAGCCTGAGATCAACCCTAGGCATTTAGCATCTGTGTCCAAAAAGGTAGAACCCGAGCAATCTTGGCTCAAATACTTTACTATTTTTCTACCATTGAATTATTCATAGTTAATGTTATATGTGGGATAATTAGTTCCAATTTGCTTGTATCTGGAAATGGTAAAGTATTTAAGAGATAAGGATTAACTTGCCTAAAAAAATAAGTTACCAGTCATAACTGATTATTGGTAATTCCTAGAATCTGGAGAGGTAAGGGGATGATTTGGGCTGATGATGGAGTGGGAAATGTTTTGGAAGGAAACAAATAAACTATTAGATGGTTGAGAAACCCCAAGAGAGTATATATCATCTGGTTCAAAAGTTTCCTGAAGCAAATGACAGAACTGATTAGCGGAAGTATTTTTAATTAGCTGAGCTGAATCCAAAAGAAAGAATATAAGTCCAAGTCAACAGAGGAAGTTTATTTGACTTCCTATTTAAAACAGATGTTTTATCAGGACTCTGATTAATTTCTGAATGTGATAATAACAGGACTGAATACCAAAGCAGTTTATTAAAATGAGAACCTTAAAAGTAAACAACATCTAGGCATTCCTACTTCTCTCTAAAAGGTCTAGGACATTTTTGCAGGTAAATAAATCACTCTGTGGACAACATATTAAAGCTGGGGTTTAGTAGCTAGTGGAGAGGAAGAATGGCACAGCCCTAGGCCTGTGCATTGCCCTTCAGGCAGGGCCCATGGGGAGTAGGGAGCCATGGAACATGGGAAGCAGGTCATAAGCCAGCCAAACTGATGCAAAATCCAAGAGGAAATGTTTTCTATAGTAATTTGGTATGCAGTTTCCTGTGAATGAAGCAGTCCAACTTTACAGAGGCAAAGACCTACTATAAACTGAACTTCTACTCTTTTAGTCTTTGGCGTGTGAACTTAAGAGGCTATTAGAGTGATTTTGTCTCATTTACTAGAATAGATGATTTTTAAAATTCAGAGCTCAAGTGTCCTTTGCAGAGAGTTTGGCAGAGTATAAACATATGTATTGCTTAGGAGGAAAGCACTGACTTTCCAGGGAATACATCTTTCCTACTCCACAGCCAAGGAGCCCTCCTGGGAGGAATCAGACTCAATTTGTTGCCACACTCTAGCACTTGAGAGAGTCTCCCCCAAATTTCTCCCCAAATCCTATCTTGCATATACAACTTCGGATCTCAAGTCATTTAGCTGGCCAGTAGTTTTGGATTACCACCCAAGGAGAAAGAATAGTGAGGTCAGAAGTCAAGTGTCATTAGGAATTGATATGTTAAATTTCCTTTCCGTGGACACTATCTAATAGCTGGTGTACTAAAAGAATGAATTCATATTATTGTGAAACATCATTTCTCAATAATATAATAATCACAAATAATGTATTAATGTGTTACCTGAAGTTTCTTCAGGAGAAAACATCAAGATAACACTTGAGAGTAACATACAGGAAAGTTTAAGTGCTTAGTGCTTTTGATAAACTGTTAATGTAAAAAATACATGAAAATCCCGTGTCCCCATGTATGTATGCTGATTAAGATTTAGAGTTTTTTCCTTTTTCCAATTAGGAAAAAAGAAATGATATTATTAAATGTTTGCACATTACAAGGCTCTAAATTTAAGTGCTTTGCTATTTTGAATTTGCTGATAGAGGTGGAAATTAATTATGGCCTTGGTCTCAACCTGCCTATTATATACTCCACAAATTACTAATGTCAGAAAAATGGTAACTGCAAAAAGAGAAAAGTTATTACAGAATTGTACCTGATTTTCCTCAGGTTACTTTAGAGGCCTCAAATGACATATATTTGAGTCTTATTCTGAGGTGAAATAAAGAGTAAAAAATGGGATAAGATTTACTTTGACTTTGTAACTTCATTAAAAGTTATAACATTATTTCATTGTATTCAGCCATTAAAAAAAAAAAAAAAGCCAGAGAGAAACTTGGAGACTCTGCCCTTTTTTTTTTTTTAATTTTTATTTATTTATGATAGTCACACACACACACACAGAGAGGCAGAGACATAGGCAGAGGGAGAAGCAGGCTCCATGCACCGGGAGCCCGACGTGGGATTCAGTCCCGGGTCTCCAGGATCGTGCCCTGGGCCAAAGGCAGGTGCTAAACCGCTGCGCCACCCAGGGACCCCTACTCTGCCTTTTAAGAACCATAAGTAATGGCATAATTCCTGAAGCTTTTTTTTTTTTTCTGACAACCAACTCTGTATGCATCAGATAGTTTTGCTATATAATGAGTCACTTCAAAATCTAATCGCTTAAAGCAACATTTTTTTAATCTGTCACGGTTTTGTGTTTTGGTGGGGTGATTATTTTCTGAGTCAGTCTACAGATTTGGAGAAAACATAGATAATAAGCAAACATAGATTTAGTAAATATGCTTAATAAGTTTCAATTAAAATAGATCTTCTATTATATAAATCTTTTCTCACTATCCCTAGAAACAAGATGAACTGTGTCTCCATGTGTATAAAACAACTTGGGCTTAGTTGTATTCCTTTAAATAAAGTTTATTTATATAAATATGAAACACCCTCTTTTATTATTAAAGTAGAATAAAATAAACTGTTAGCATTGTCAAGTATTTTTTAGACAGTCTTTTAATAATCCAATCTGATTAGGGGGACCAGGGTAGCTTAGTCAGTTAAGCGTCTGACTTCGGCTCTGGTCATGACCTCAGGGTCCTGGAATCCAGCCCCATGTCAGGCTCCATGCTCAGCAGAGTCTGCTTGTCCTTCTCCCTATGCCCCTCCCTCAGCTCGTGCACCTTCTCTCTCTCAAATAATAAAATCTTTTTAAAAATTTTAAGAAATGATGCAATCTGGTTAATAGCATTTATATATATATGATACCATTTAGGATATATCTATCATGTAGGATGATCAGTTTGCTAACTTACATATTATAATAATAAAATGTAATGATTCAACCAAGACATTGTTTCTTCTATGTATAGACCCAATTACTCTAGGAATTCAGAGGTTTGTACATTCAATGTGAGAGTAGTAACACAAAATGTTAGCACTGCAAGGCACTTTAGAGATGATCTCTAATACTCTCATTTTGTGGTGAGGAAAACAAATACATGCCCATTCTGAATTACATCTAGGATAAGAACAATTCTGGATTTCACTCCTTTCTTTCTTTCTTTCTTTCTTTCTTTCTTTCTTTCTTTCTTTCTTTCTTTCTTTCTTTCTTTTCTTTCTTTTTTTTTTTTTTTTGTAGGATCCCAACACAGGGCTTGAACTCACAACTCTGAGATTAAGAGTCAGACAGTAGCCAAATGAGCCACTGAGGCACCCCATGAATTCACTCTTTTAAATTTAAGTTCTCTATGCTTTCTTAAGGGAGGAAAATGGGAAAGATACTTAAACTAGTAGGGAGACTTGAGATCTATGTCTTTTGACTCTGAAAACTATTACAGAAATTTTAAAAAAGTGTTGAGTGGGAAACGGCATTTGAATCTTAGATCCTGATTTTTACACAATATTTTAATTAGTGATTTTAATTTCTGCCTGAAGATTTTGATACATTTTTAGGCACTGAAAAATTTAGAGCTGTAACAATTTTCCAATGAGAAAAATGAGATGTTAAGGGTTTGCAGTATTGTCAAAAATCATATGTATGTCTTAGAAGCATTACAAAACCTTCATAGCTAAATTTTATTAAGTATATAAAACCTTTATGTGTTTCATTTTACTTTGCTTTCCTATCTGCTTATCCCAAATTCAAATCAAAAGGTCGAGGGAAGGAATGGAAATACCTCCACCTAGTGGTCAGCATGAAGTAAAGTTAATAAAACCAAATTAAGAAAAAGGACAAAAGATCGTCCACCGTACATAATTAGCACAAATCTATAGGTCTATAACATGCTTTAATTAATGTTTACTTAGATGTTAACTACTTAACTGAAAATAAAATATAAATACTAGTTAATTGAAATTAAAGTGAAAATAATAGGCGGAAACTTCATGTTATTGATAAACGCTGATACTAGTTTCTGCACTCCACTGCCATATATTGATAGGGACATAATACATCTTTCTGGTGAAGAAACCATTTGAAGCTTATTTATTTGCTCTGTTCTTTATAATCTCAACAGTGGCAGGACTCTTTCTTATTATTATTTTAATCACATAGTTCCCTGTCTAGCACAGTGATGGGCACGTACTAGAGCCTCAATAAGTAGTCCTGGGTTGAGAGAATGAAACAAAATTATCCATTTCCATAGAGGCATAAAGGTTAAGGTAAAAGTGAAATCAATCAAATAAATACGAATATCACACACCCATAACATGGTTGGTACTATCCCAATTTTTTTTTTTTTACTTTTATAAGAATGAATTTAGATTTAAAAGCATATACATAACTTTGCAAGAAGAAGGAGTCCAAGACAAATGTGAAGTCATCTGTGTTGTGACTTAAGTATAGGTATTGGATATTTCCTTATTAAAACTCAAATCCACACACATAAAAAAGGAAATGAAAAATATGCGAATATTGTTTAGATTAGAAAGAGTATGACTGGAAAAAATAGTGTTACTTCGAGGAAATAGTCTGGTTTTCCAGTACAGGGCATATATGTAGTAATTAATATTTTTGTGTTCAGTTCTTTGCTTGGGTAAAATCTACCTAATATTATTAGAATATTAAACATAGTTTCTAAAAGACTTAAGAATTTTAGAGATAAAGCACATATGCCAATTTAAGAAATTACCCAACAATAGTAAAGAATTGCAGGAGAAGCTATTGGGCTCATGTATGTGTTTTTGTTTGTTTTGTTGTTTAACATCTACAGTCTTTGAGTGAAATGATGTGGTATTGATCCTCTCATAAACTACTGATTTTTCAGTTTAACTGAAAATGCTGTATCTTTCTTTTCTTTATAGAAAGCATCGTCATTCACCAGTTACGTATGAACTCCAGATGAAATGGTAAACCAAGCACATATGGGGTGCGTGTACTTCCTCTGAATCCCTGTTGAATGAGTAGTATTTCTGCAGCCCTCCATCATCACTAAGGTCCTCCATGCTACTGATCACTACTGGAAATAATTTTCTACTTCCAGTGATTTTTTTTTGAGGATATAATAATGTAAAAGCTGAAAATGGCATTGCTGATAATATGAAAATAGGTAGCAAGAGCGATTCAATCTTTGTGTCAAAATAAATTTCCTTTCTGCAAAGCTTTCAAGTCCATGGGCACATGCTATGTAATTTATTTTTATAATACACTTTGTAATGTGATTTTTTTTCCTAAAGTGTTTCCTTTTTCGTAGTCTATGGCACATATATCTGTAGAGTACACTGTCAGTTCTTCAAAGTATTGGTACTGGTGCATTCAAAACAGGAAACTATCACTATTTTCCTTCATCAACCTTTTATTTCTGAAGGAAAAGAAAGTACAACACTCTACATATTTCCTGGGGTAAATTCAAGAAATAAAACAGAAGCAGGAGATTCTAGAGGAGGTTTTATTATTGCTTATACAATGCTGTGATTCTGATCATAGTTCAACAGTAATAAAATAATGTTGATTTAAAGACTTTAATTTTAAATATGTAAAGCCAATTTTAAAAATTGCCCTTTTTAGTCTGTGGCAAAACCCCTGGATAAATTGAATTTCATATGGAACAAATTAATAAAAGAAGATATATAAGTTTAACCAGTAAGGATATGGGACTACATCAACTGATAGTTCAATTATATTTGTTTGCATTATTTGCTTATATGTATGAGACTTATAAGGACTGTGATAACAAGGTATTTCTCACAATCTGCCCAAATGAAAGCCCCATAAATAAAAACTGACCCAAGGTAATATCTGCATCTTAAAAAAAAAAATGGTAAGAGAAATCCCATAAGAAATGATGTTTCTTCTTGATAGACAGGATTTGGATAGATTTTCATAATGGCATGTAGGTTGCAGAATATATTCTTTAAAGATAAAAGCACAACATGCATTACTCAAATCTCAATGTCAGAGCTGCTGTGGAATTTAGGTTTATATGAAAATGTACATCTAAAGTCTACTTGAAACCCTAATAATACAGCTTTTTAAAAAGACTTTGCTAATGTGGACATGTTTTCAACAAGGTCTTTAAAAAAATAACTTCAAAAATAAATGAAGATTTGACATATCAGTTTCTGAATGCAAAAATCGTATATCATGGAGCTTTACTGATATTAAAGAAAATGCTTCTCAGTGCCACACAGATAACTAAAAACCACAAAAGCAACACCGTTGGCCTATTTCTCCAGTTGACAGCTTGTATCCAGGTTATAAACCCATAAAAAAGCGAGTCTACACTGAGTCTCTGGAATAGAAAAATTAATTGGATTTCCTCCCTTATGTAACTTTGGAAGGTTTTAAATTATGCTTTGTGGAACTAGCAATCATCTTCAGTAGGTATTATAAATTAAATAACTATATTTTATGGAAAATTAGCTTGATTTTTTTTTTTTAAAGTAAAAGAAATTCTATAGTAGGCTTGTCCTAGTTTGAATGATTGTGAATGTATCACATATCCTTCAGGGCTTTTGATTAATGACTGAGAAACCTAGTGTGTGTATGTGTGAAGATTTAAAAAATTGTTGCTATGAGTTTTCTGTTTTCTGAAAATGTTTTTGAACTGTAATGACATTTTCAAGTAAAAAGGGTTTTATTTTCTATTGTTACCTTTTTTGGCACACAGTTAAGTTCCCTATTTGCTAACATTTATACTTCTGATTTATCACAAATTAGCATTTGAAGCAAATAGCTTTTTCTCAACTTGTGGAAAATTATATGAATAGTGAAAAGTCTAGAGGATAAGACTTTACTTCTTGACTTTAAAATATTACAAGTGATTTATGTATATTTGGATCTGAAGTTTTTATTTCTCTTGAATTTATAATGAAATTTGGTACTTGCAATGCAGAGTAAGGATGGTGGTGCAATCAGAGTCACTTAGATGGATGTTGAGCTTTTTTCTGCTCATCCTGGGATTAAGTCTTCTGTTTAAACCCAAATGGAACCTGAGTGACAGATAAGTAAACTTAATTTTAAAAATTAATAAATTGTTCTGAAATAAAAGAATATTAAAAATTAACAGAAAAGTCAAAACACCAAATAGCTACATCCTTATCTAATGATATACAAAATCAGAAACAGTCCTATCCCAATATCCATAACCAGTTGAAAAAAACTGCCTCCATGTGCACCATTCTAGACTCATAAAATTTACGTATCTTTTATTAGATCTCCAATCATCAATATGAAAGGGAATCCGTCTTGAATAGAATAATTTTCTGAAATGATTCCAGTTTAAGGTACAACAGTTGAACTAATCCATTATTTTACACTTTTCTTTTTGATAAATATTTTTGAGGTATCCTCTGCAGAGATTTTTTTCAAGTATTTCATAAAATATTAAGGTTTCATGAAGACAGTGAATAAATTTTCCAGATTTTAGATGCCTAGAATGTTCACAAAATGTGAAGAATTAATTGTCTCTTAGGAAAACCATAAAAAAAATTCATGACATGGAACATCTAGCTTAAGCATTAAAAAAGACACCAGCACTATTGATATAATTCACAGGTTCTAAAAAGCAGCTGCAAAGCAAGAGTAAATAAATGTTGGATCAGACAATGTAATGTATTTATGTCCTTTCTCTTTACGCTGTAGTTGAATTTTCCTGGAAATGAATAAAAAACATAATAATAATTGGGCATGTTCATGAATTTGATGAGCAATGATTCTAAAAATAACAAAAATGCAAAATGGAAGTTAAAAAAAACACAACTGGCACCTGAGGCATATATCCCCTTTGGACTCCAGTGCTATCCCCCTGCTAAAATTACTAATTGAAAGTGAAGAGGAAAAACAATAAAAGCTATTGTAATAAATTCATAAAAATTGGGAGAGTTTCACGGAATTAGCTTAGTGAACACTAATATTTTATTTTGTGTCTTAAATTTTCAGCGTTTACTCCATAACTATATAACAACTGTTTGTTACATAGGAAAAATACAAAATGCAGATTATTAAGTTCGAATAGAAATGTTTAAGGTGCCATGACATAATACATTTATTTTTGTTGTTGTTTTTTCATTTATATTATTTGGGTAATTTTACCTTACCATCCACAGATTTTTGTTACTTTTAACAGTGCTGATTGTATTTATTTAGATTTTGTTTAAAAATATCAGATGTCAGCTTCTCCAATATGAGACTTACAGTGTGATCAAGATATTCTTAGAAGTCCTGCAGTCTAATGGATTTTCAAAAGCAAAAGAGTGCGTTGAAAAATTGTGGAGTTACATTATATTTTCACAACATTCATAAGTTTTATTAAGTACGAGAAGTTTATTAGTTTTCACTACAGCCAATGGAATTTATGGGTATCTACTTGTCTTTTATATGATTGTAATATCTTGCTTTCAGTTCTTCACAGGTTATTGAAATTATTTAGCCAATTAAGACATTCTCTTTGTGTTATTTCCAAAGTCAACCATGTTCATCAAAAATCTCACTAGAGAGTGAGAAAAATAACAATTGTGATATAAAAACATTGTGCAATATTTTTTTGAGTTGGAACATAATATTCATAAAATTAAAATCATTTAAAAGAAGTATTCAACCTTCATCTTTTATTTAAAATTGTTTGCTTTAAAATAGTTTTTGTTTCGGCATTTCCTATTTTCTTAAAAATATGGTGTTCTTCACTGTGAATGAGCAGAAATGGTACAGCAGATCTGCCAAAATGAGAGCTACTTTTCCCGAGTTACATCCTAGTCTGATTCCTTATTAAGATGAAAACTGCAAAACACCAAGAGATAGAACTGGTTATAGGGTTTCCCTCAGCCCTTTATCTTCACCGAATGCATTGTCAGTCTATATTTAGATATCACTTTACTGCTTTCTGCTGTCAATCTAAAGGTAGGTTACTCAGTAGAGCAAATGCTCCTGAGGTTTTCCAGCAGGCCACAACCCAGCTTCTAGAGAGGCAGTTAGGGTAATGCTTTCAGCAAAATGGGATAGAGATGACAGTGGGGCTATTCTCTGACGCCTTTTATTTATCAACTTTGTGCCAGATTTGGTGCTCTACAGCCAATCTCTACTTGTCTTTGCCTTATTTGTGACAAAGGAATGGCTTTTTCCTGTTTATTGTCTAAAGATCCACATATCAAAAAAAGCAGGTAAGGATGATGTCTAAACACAGATGCTTTCTACAGGCAGGTTGCAGATGTTAGGGGTCTTGCCTACAAGGCAGTTCTGAGGCCTCTCTTTGGAGTGGAGCCCCTTGGGTTCACATGGTTTAAGAGCACTGGCCAAAAGTCATTGTTTATTTCATGACTTCCCAGGAGAAGGAAGGTATCAGGCTTTCTGTATTTGGATTTGTTCCCTTGAGCCCTGGACTAGCTTCACTTTTAATGAGCACCAGGCTATTTATGTGTGCAGAAAAAATGAAGCAAGTTCTCTGGGCTCCATGCATGTTGGCAATAGGGCACACTGCACCATTTTTTTTAAATATTAAAACTTACTTTTGAAATTTGTTTCATGATATCCCAAAGAACATATAAAAGATGTCAGACTTTGAGGCCTCCCTTCAACTGAGGCAACCCTCACTAACTGCATGGTTCCAGGCATAGCGACCTGATCCACAGATAATGGTTGGAAACCCAGTTCCCTAAAGTTCCCAGGTAAGTTTTGGTTTGTTTTTAAATCAGTCCTCTTTTAGTTTCCACTGTCATTATTTTCAGCATTCCTTTGAGATAAGTGTCTTTAAGGAGAAACTATGTTTTCTTTCTCTTTAGGAGTCTATTTTCCCTTTCTGCCTATTTTGATGGGCACTGGTATACAAAGTTATCACTCCAGTTTGACTGTAAGCTTCTTGAAGACAGGATTTGCATATTCCTCAGAGTGAATATAGGATACTGGATAAATGTTTGCAAAGGGCAATATAATTCCTTCTATGGAGAGGCCTTTTTGCACTCTCTTTCTAGCTGCCCTATCTCATTTCCACCAATCTTCACAGACTTTTTCCATGACCATAATCACGTTTTCATTTTTGGCTTTTCCAGCTCAGAGAGCACATTTCTTTCTCCTCTTTGACAGCAAGACATATGTTTAGTCGTAGCAGCAGGGTGTTTTGTAGGAACCCAATTACTGACTCCTTACCCCAAAGGGTTGCTCCTCTAAGAGGATATCTTAGCCAGGGTACTCAATGCCAGGGCTTCCTTATCAAATTGTTCTGGTTGCTTATCCTTCCCTTGTAGAAACCTCTGTGCCCACTGAAGATTTTAGGTGCAGGGTATCTGGATTAAACAGGAAGACTCTCAATAATCATGGATCTTAAGGGAAAACAGACTCTACAGACAGAGGTCCCTCATCTTATCAGACCACTAGATGGCTTACACCACTTAAACAAGAAAAGTGCATTCAGTCATTTTCACACTTCACAAAGAGGCCAAGCACTAGTTCCCACATGCAGCATTGCTGTAAGTAGACAAGTGGGACAAATGGACTATATGAGCTAACAAAATATCTCCCCGAGAATGGGGAGTATCAGAGATCTTAATTTTCAGGAAAACAACTTAAGATCTTGAGAAAAAGAACACGATCAGCCAGGGTATGGAGCCTTGCAAATCATTAATAATGAGTGTTGTAAATGGTTCAACTTTCTCCATATTCTTTCATTTTTGATCTTATTCTTTCCTGCATGGAGAATCATAATATCACTCAGACCCTAGGACCCATTTCCCCATAGTTTAGTTTTTGACATCATAAAGAGGATGAGGTGTGGCATCTCCTATAACCCCTTGTGCACACATATGTTCCTGACCTCATTATACTCAATTGTTTGTTGGCAAGTTGTCTCTTCCACTAAAATGTGAGTTGAGAGTAGGTCTGGTTAGTTCAACTAGGATATCTTTAAGACCTTGGCATTTTTCCAGGTGTTATAGAGACAAACAAAAATAGTCTCTGACCCTGATAAGTTTACATCTAGTAGGAAAGACAGACATAAACATATTTCTCAGTACTATGGTAAGTGCAAGGATAGAGGTATGCAGGGTAGCCCTGGTGGCACAGTGGTTTAGCGCTGCCTGCACCCCGGGGTGTGATCCTGGAGACGCGAGATCGAGTCCCACATCGGGCTTCCTGCATGGAGCCTGCTTCTCCCTCTGCCTGTGTCTCTGCCTCTCTCTTGCTCTCTCTGAATGAATAAATAAATAAATCTTTAAAAAAAAAAAAAAGGATAGAGGTATGTATAAGTTGCCTTGAACTCAGAGAGAAACTCTTAGCACAGCCTGAGGGACAAAGAAAGATTCCTCAAATTGGCTACTGTCTTGCATCTTGAAGGATGAGAATTAGCAAGGCAGTTTCAGTGGAAGTGGGGTCTGAAGTGGGGGAGCAGTATGTTGTTGGATGGGTTAGGAATTGAAGACAGTGAATGCACATTATTCTTCTCAGAAGATTCAGTGAAAGTAAAAGTGTTGTGGAATAGTTTGCTGAACCCCTGCTTTGTCCCTCACCAAGCACTGGTCAGAGGGAAGTCTAGGAGGTCTTGGTTATTTGTTGTCATAAACATTTAGTTCCATTGACAAAAAAAAGTGTTTCCTTCCTCAGGCTCAGTAGACGTTGACTTTCACATTTAAGTTCATTTTGTGAAAATCATCCTTCAATAATATGTTAGAGCTATTTTTTTTTTGTTAGAGCTATTTTAAAGAAATAATAACTTCATTGGTAGTAGTGACCTGTTTCAAAAACAAATAATAATGAAATGCCTGCCACACCTCAGACTTCCTGTAATTTAAAACTTGCAGAAACAGAAAAAGACATGTATAAAAATAGTCCAAATGATTGTAAGTGGTTAAACATTAAAAAAAAAAAAAAAAAAGTAGATTCCATGCCCAGCATGGAGCCCAATGCAGGGTTTGAACTCATGACCCTGAGATCAAGACGTGAGCTAAGATCAAGAGTTGGATACTTAACTGACTGAGCCACCCATGCACCCTGGTTAAACATTTTTAAATATCTACTTACCCATATCTATTTTCATGGAGTAATAAGTTTCTTCCTTCCTCTGCCTGTCCCCTTTAAAAAATAATTTCACTATTATACATACAATAAATGTTGGATGTCAACTTAGAGATGGCAACATCATATTTGAAAGAAAGATCTTATCTATAATTGATAGCACCTATTGGAAAAATATATGCCATGGGACATAATCTACTGAGAGAGTCTATACAGGGGAGTCATGAAGTCTGAAATCTTATCAGAATTCTATTTTTTCATTTAAAGAGAGTGTGGAGTTAAGATGAAAGAAACCTTATTTCCTTCCCAAAACAAGATTCTTAGGCTGTCTACTCTTTCCTCTAATGAGACTAAACATTAAAATATGTTGTTTGACTTGTTATTTCTGACTACTGACTATGATTACTATTCATGAACTTATAAAACCTTTCATCACAACACCAATGTACTCAGGCTAATCAGACAATCTCTCAATGTGAGAACAAAAGGATTTTCTTACATGCCTAATTGAAAAAGTTTAATAAATACACAAAATAAAAAAAAAAAGGAAGAAGTCAACTCTAAAAGCAGTAATTTTTCAAAGTCAGTTGGAACCAATCTCTGATGCCATAAATATAACAAATTAAATTTATTATACAAATTCTCTATCATTCTTTTCCTAAAAATCTTCTTAGATAATTAAACATGAATATGATTTAATCCTACCAAAGATCTCTAAAGTAAGCTACCATGCCTAACTGAATAGAAAAATTTTTTCCTTCAAAAATAAACAAGCAAAAATACTACCAAGTCACTGAATACAACTCAAACCATTTCCAGTCCCTAAGACCTTTTTCTGAAATTCATGCTGGTAAAAACTATGGTACAATTTTTAGGTCTCTTCAACTTTCCTAAATATTGTTATGCTACACATGTGAATAAATGGCTTGAATATGGTTAGAAGCTAGAGAAGTTAATCAGCACCAAATACTCAGAGGAGTCCAACAAGCAAATATGTGTGGCACACTAAGGCTAAACAGTTAAAAAAAAATGAGTTTCAGTTTCCTCTCCTTAATTCTTTAAGCTACTCAATAGTTATTCAATATTTTTTCTTTAATGTTTTTGGTTACCTATTTGGTGGCTTGAACACAACTGGGCTACAAAATAAAAAAATAGTATAAAACTACTTTCCCAAAAGTTATTTATATACATCTCTTCAGATCATGGGATTTGCATCTGCTTTATCATTTTGGATCTACTTTTATATTTGGGCTCAGGCATTCACTGCACACTTATGTGTTGACCTGGTAGTTGGCATTAATCAATATCATTTAGCCAAATATACTCTTTTATCAGGAATCAGCAAATGAACAATCATTTGAACAATACAAATGCTACCTATATGTATCATTAATACACACAAACACCAGTTACTCCTAGGAGACAACAGTGAAAAATGTATGACCAGTAGATAAACTGGTAATACATTGTGAGAACGACTCTCTTTTGTTATCCCAGAAATGTTGAGTAACATTTTCTTTTAAGAATTTGTACTTCATCATATTAAATGAAAATGAAAACAAAAACAAAAAACCACAACTACCTGGTAAGGACAATCATAAAATAATGAGTCCCTTGAGATAATGATGTTGATGTGAAAAAAAATATTAGCTCAGAAAAGCAGCATATCATGATGGCACAGTACAGAGAGGAAAAGGAACTGTAAGGATATCATCAAGAGATTGAAGGTCATTTAATCTATTTGGCTCTCGTCTGAAAATGTAAGTTTTAGACAAGAATCTAAGGAAGCTTTCAGTTCTACAACTCTGTTCTGGTCAAAATGGAGTTTCCAGTAACAAAAAAAGAGACAATAAGTTAATCTTTCTTATGAACAGAAAAAAAAACTAAAGAAAAAGCAGATAAACTTATTGCCATCACTTAGATTACTAAAAAAAAAAAATAAAAATAAAAATTAAAAAAAATCTAAGGGCAAAATAACTGACCAGTTATTCAGAATGCTGAAATAACTTTTTTTTTTTAAGATTTTATTAATTTATTCATGAAAGACACACACAGAGAGAGAGAGAGAGAGAGAGAGAGAGAGAGAGGCAGGGACACAGGCAGAGAGAGAAGCAGGCTCCATGCAGGGAGCCCAATGTGGGACTTGATCCCGGGACTCCAGGATCACGCCCTGGGCCCAAGGTGGCGCTAAACCGCTGGGCCACCGGGGCTGCCCTGAAATATTCTTTTAAGGAATTGTAACATTTAGTGGATGTGATAATATAGGTAGAAATGAGGAGAAAAAACTTGCCTTATGCTTTATATTTTTGCATTATATCCAATATTGTTAAAGACATTTTTTACTAACAGAACTTAGCAAAACAAAACTATTCCACGCCTTCTCCATCAACTGTGATAGACAAACGTTTTCCATTTGAGCCCTAGGTTGAACTTGGCATAGATCAAAACAAAAAATACTCACCTATGTTAACAATGCTAAGAATCTGAGAGATACTGGATGTCATATAAGAGCAAAACCAAGCAGGCCAGTTGTCTGCCAGATATTCAATTGGCTCACATGTTGAGACTTGTCATTTTTAAAATATATTTAAATTTAAATCTGAGGCCCAAACATTCTTTTCCTTTCCTGTTCCTTGGTTTACCTTCAAAAGGCATAAATACAAAAGTCTGAAAGAAAAGAAAACTTGGGTTTGTTTTCAGATGATGTGATTTACTCTCTGGTCTAGACTTCAAAGATGCCAAATATGTGAATGGTACATAACTTTTTTAAAAAAAAAATTACAAATATATGCTTATCGCAGAAATTTTGAAAAAATACGTAAAAGTGCAAAAATAGAGAACAATCATCCTCCATCCGGTCAATGGAGATTACTACTTTCAGGTGGGCTTTACGCTCTGTACCTAGACCACTTTGGTATCATTTAGCCACTTTTTAGGTATCAGTAGTATTTCCTTGGGTCATCAAATACTACGTGTTCACATAGTATCTCATTTTATAGCGATGCCGTAAGTTGTTGCATTTGATCAACAGTAGTAAAGAGCTACAGCTTCTTACAATTGGCTCCTCAAATCAATGTGCAAAGAGAAACGTGGACACAGAAAATAAGGTAAAAAGTAACACGATGACCATTAATGGAGGAAAAGGTAATAGGGCTAACCAATGGGCACGATTCATTCTTGATTTTAGTACCCAAGTGTCACCTACCACGCATCTCACTTAACGTTTACCTTTGCACCTTGAGTGGAGGTTTATTGATTTTTAGAGGAAAGTGGCGGTTTTATACCCCAAGCAAGCACAGCCATCCCACCAGGCTCAAGCTCCCTTGGTGTGGTCTTTTAAATGCTCCGATTCCCTTCAGAGAGGGCTTCGAGGGAAGGCAAAAACCTGTCTGGCGCCGAAGGCCCAGAAAGACCTCTCTGCTAGCAGCTCCAGGGCTGATGAGGGCGTGATTTGGGCCAGGCGGCCGGACCTGCGGCCCAGAACCGCCGCCGCCACGATGACCCCAGCAGGAGGCAGGGGAGGGAGAACAGAAGCTTCCGGGGCTGGAGCACGCACACCTATCGCGTAGGCGTCGAAACCTCTACGCTCCCAGGGACGCGCAGGCGCAACGCAGCTCCACGCTCTGCGCGGGGGAGGGGCTGAGGTCCTCACTCTGTCGTCACAGGGCAGATGATCAGGGTGCGTCCGCCTTTTCCCTCCCCCTTCTATCCTCCTCCCTTTCCCCCTCCCCCTGTCCCTCAGTTTTCTCCCTCCTTCCTCTCTCCCTCCCTCTGGCGTCCCCAGCCGACTCCCGCTTCCGGTCGGCGGCCGTCTGCGGAAGGGTGTCCCGCCTCTTCCGCCTTTACAGCGGAGGTGGCGGCGGCCGCGGCGCCTGCGCGTCTTCTGTCAGGGTCGGCAGGCGGGTCCCCCGGGTGGTCCACCTGCGCGTAGGGGAGCCGCGCCGTGGGGGTCGATGGCGATGAACTATAATGCGAAGGATGAAGTGGATGGTGGGCCCCCGTGTGCTCCCGGGGCCACCGCTAAGAACCGGAGGCCGGATAACACGGCCTTCAAACAGCAACGGTTGCCGGCTTGGCAGCCCATCCTGACGGCTGGCACGGTGCTACCTACCTTCTTCATCATCGGCCTCATCTTCATCCCCATTGGCATCGGCATCTTCGTCACCTCCAACAACATCCGCGAGATCGAGGTGAGGGGAGGGAGCGGCGTTGGGAGCTGGCGCTGCCCGGGAGCGGGGTCCTCCGTCGGCTCCAGTCCAGCCTCAGCTCCCTGGAGGTTGACCGGCGGGCTCTGCCCTCCCCCGCCTCTTTCCTCTCTTCCTCTGTTTCTCCTTTTTCCTTTCTGTGTGTTTCCGGAATTTTGCAGTTCTGTCCGAGCTTCCTCTTGGGATTTACAGGGTTTCAGATGGAATGAATGTTTCGTGCAGGGGGTGGGTCAGGTGAAGAACGCCCCTTTAATGCACGGTTCCTGTGCTTCTGTCGGGGTTGTTGCCTCCAACGGAGGAGGGGAAAACTGTGAAAAAGACAGAAGCTATGTCTGGTTGTAACTCCGTGACAGTTGACTCGATCAGGGGGTCGTTACTCGTGTGGGGATTACAGAGATTAACGCGTTGGCCATTGTTAGGGAAAGGAGCCTGGGTCATAGAGGCATGGATTTTTATGTAAAGAAGTTGTGTTACCAAGTCACGTAGTAGGACGTATAACCGAAGTGCACACGGTATCTTTCATTTGGGGCTAATAAATACTTACCGTCGTAAGGCATGATAAGTAAGTGAAAGGTAACCAGAATCTTCAATTCTGATGTTGCTTTTTAGGCTGCGTTTAATAATCATGCCCTACATTCGCCCTAGGTGGTTTATTTTGTTCCCCCCGCCTCCTAGAATTTAAATTAAAAAAAAAAGAGAGAGAGAGAGACAAGAACTACACGTCGAATTAGTTGTACACTGTCTACTGAACATTTTACTGATACAAGGCATGACAGACTTAGAGAAGCATCTTGAGTGTCGGAGCAGCGATCATAGCACCTTCATCTATTTGTACTGAAGGTACAGGTGAAGGTAGGGTGATACTAGAATGTAAATACTTCATAGAGATGTCCAGTATTAAAATCTGCTCATCTTCTTTTCTTGTACATCACAGGGTATTTTTATGTGTTTGGAAGGGCAGGAACTGGTATCAGGCTCTCTTGAGTTCTTCTGTTCTATCAGGTTATGCTGTTTTTGTTTTCCCGAATTTTATTAACTACTTTAAATGTGTGTATGTGATTTAATGGGACTTTCAGAGTAATTTTATTTCAACTACTGGAATAGGCATGAAGATACCTCTTTTACAGTATAGTCTATGATATTGCTCCTAAGACCGAAATCAATATATCTTTTAATTGTACAGTGCTCTTTTATGTTAATAGTAATAAGAATAGTATCAATAGCATAGTTTTTAAGTCTTTTACTAAAAATTCATTTTTGGTTTAATAGCTGGAGAAAGTACTAAAGTATGTTTCTTCAGCATGTGTTTTTATTTGTTTTATGATTTGTATCTCCCGAATTGTCCTGCAAATATGGTACTTGCTCACTCAGCCGCACTAGGATCACACATGTAAGAGCAAAATAATGTAACACAAAGACCTGTGGGCTCTAGGTTAGTGTTAGGCAGAGCTGGTGTTAAATTCCAGCTCAGCTACTAACTAGCTCAGTGTCTTGGAAAACTTAATCTCTCCATGTCTAAGTTTCCTCACCTGTATAACAGGCAAAAATGTGAGAATTTGAAACAATATAGGTAAGATTACTGGTATGAAGTTTTTATAATAGTTACTGTCAATATGATAATCACTGATCAGAAGATGAGAAATGGAGTCAGAGAGGTTGATATTTTGTTACTAAGCTAGCAGAGTATTGTAAAATTGAGACAGAAACCTGGATGTTTTGATTCCCAGTCTTACACTACACTGGAATCCTAACTGCAGTGTGAGTAGTTAAGTAGAAGAAAATAATTTAACGTTAGAAATTTGATAATTTTACCTCAGCCTGAGATATTAAGATAAAAGTAGCAATAATTTGGAATTTACATAATGGGAATTTACTGAATTATCAGAACTCAACTTTGTTAATATTTATTATACTATAAAAATAAGTATTTACTTTCTTTAAAACTTTTGGGTTCAGAGATAAATAAGATTCTTCGCACTAAGTAGTTGTTAAAATGGAAATTTCTTGACTAGCTCTCATGTATGTAATTCTGATTTCATGTGCCTGAGAAGTCTCCTCACCTTGGTCTGGTTAAAAGGGCACTGAAGAGTCAAGGCAGTAGAGTTGAGGTCTCCACTCTGTTACTCTCTAGTTTGTGGTCGTGGGCATGTTTTTGAGTTTTAGTTTCTTTTCCCAGAAGAATCAAAAAATTCAGTCTAGATCTCTGAAGTGCTGTTCAACTCTAAAAATCTATGACTTCCAGCTTTAATGGGGTTTTTAAAAAATGCTGCATATTTGAATTGGATCACCTTTAGAACCAGAGGAAATGAAAGTTAGGAATTATTAGGAATTTTGTACCAACCTTGACAATACAGTTGTGTAAATAGAGTCACAATTTTTTAAAATTTGGCTGTTAAATATGTAGAAAATTGGTTTTGGATTGGGTGTGGAATATTAGAAAAACCTAGAGAACTTTCCCAAAACACACATGCTTGTTTCTGCCAGCTCTCCACCCTATGTTAGCCACTTGAGGTTAAAATCTATTGACTGTTGGGGCCCCTGGGTGGCTCAGTCTGTTAAGTGGATGCCTTTGGCTCATGATCCCGGGGTCCTAGGTTCCAGTCCTTCATGGGGCTCCCTGCTGAGCAGGGAATCGGGTTCTCCCTCTCCCCCTGACCCTGCCACCTGCTCATGCTCTCACTGGTGTGCTCTCTCTCTCAAGTGAATCAATTAAAAAAAAATATGTTGAGGATTATTAAAAATAAGTGGGTAATGAGAAGTGCTTGCCAACTTTTACACTGTAATTTGCTCACAGCTCTTCAGCTTTTTTCCTCAATTTTGAAAATTTTAAGAACTTTAATTGCCGGTATTACATCAAATTACTAGCTAGAGGAGACTTGTCAAATAAGAATGCTTTTGTAATATAGCTTAGGGTACTAATATCAGAAATCCAGAATTTTTAGACACAAAAAATCAGTGGGTCTTTACCCTTCTCCCAGAAATGTTATATTAAAAAATTAGTCTTGGGATCCCTGGGTGGCTCAGTGGTTTGACGCCTGTGTTTGGCCAGGGCACGATCCTGGAGGCCCGGGATCGAGTCCCACATCGGGCTCCCAGCATGGAGCCTGCTTCTCCCTCTGCCTGTGTCTCTACCTCTCTCTCTCTCTCTATGTCTATCATAAATAAATAAAAAATCTTTAAAAAAAAAAAATAAAAAAAAAATAAAAAATTAGTCTTATAAAGAGCATTGGACTCTCTTGAAAAAGGTATAAAAAAGATAATTTTACATTTTAATGCTTACATTTGGCAGGATTTATCTCCTCAGCTCTATCCTGCTGTGTGTGTATATCTTGTTTAGTTGGTTTTTAGATTTTCCACCATCTAATTCAGTGAAGTTATTAGAAAACTAAAGTTGTTAATTTTCTCATTCATAAGAAAATATTTTAAATACTTAATATGTCACTTAACACTAAGGTTTAATATCTTCATTAATATTAGCAGCAAGGAATTTCCTTTAATTTGGCAGTTGTAGGAGTGTGGCGCATCCTTTTATGACAAAAATAATGATTTTCTGGTCTAGGGCCCTTGTTAGTGAGGCTGAGATATTACCTGAATAGAGCTAACTTGGAAAAGGTGATAGGGTATTCTTAACTTTTGTAAAGGCATTTATCAGTGTGAAATTATGTGGTTTTAAATTAACGGTTTGAATCAGATGAGGACATTTTTCAAAGTAATATTCAGAGTAAATTTAAAAACTAAATATTTGCTTCAAATTAATATTGCCAAAAGTGTTCAAGAAACATTTTTATTAAATTTTAGTGGATTAGGACACCCCCTCCCAACACGTTTGATAGAGAAATTCCAACTCTCCTCTGCTTTTATCTTAACTGTCATTTACTGCCCTCATTTATTTAATCCTGATTATTTTGTTTCACTAATTTCTGATAAAAAACATTTAAAAAAATTATTTATTTATTCATGAGAGACACACACAGAGAGAGAGAGAGAGACTGTCAGAGACATAGGCAGAAGGAGAAGCATGCTCCCCGCCAGGATCCTGATGTGCAACTCGATCCTGGGACCTGGGATCATGCCCTGAGCCAAAGGCAGATGCTGAACCACTGAGCCAACCAGGCGTCCCCATAATAAGATTTTTAAGAGAATTAGATCTCTCCTGCATTTAGTATTATTCTTTGTTGATACTTAGCCTATAGCAAAGAGTCAAGGAAGAATATATTGCTGTGTAGAAATGATTGTTAAAGATAAGGCACTTTATGTTAAGAAATTTAAATTTTTAATATTCGAATGA